GCATATAAAATGGCACACACAAATATTGTTGGAATCATTATTATTATTGTTTTTTTAATGTTTCAAAGCCCTGTAATAATGTTTTCTCATCTTATCGTCCAAGTACAAATAAGAATTAGTTACAATTACCTAGATTTATAGTACAAATGGAAAGAACTAAAAATGCCGCTTCCCTTTACTACCGAAAACTTAATCAAAGTATATGAATTAAAGAAAATGTTTAAAGAAATGTACATCCATGGGTTTCGGAAAGAAATGAGTGTGCAAACGTGTTTCGATTTGCAAACAATAGCTTGTTGGATGGCGTGCCTCCGCATATACAGAATACAAAACAAATGGCGTCAAATTAAACGCAAAACTCATTTACAAGCTAAATATGTACTATTGACCCGAAACTTACTACCTACGAGAACACTTTCGTATAGAAGAGGTCAGAAAGTTTAGAAAATTGAGATAAAGGTGTGTTCAGTAAGGATTAACCTACCTGTTGAACCCTTTCAGCGTGATTGAAGACGTTTCTATAAACTTCACAAAATCTATTATAAAGTTAAGAAATATAGTATAAATAAAAAGTATTTTTTTAAAAAAAGTACATATCTTTTAAATTCTGAATATTTTTTCTCAAATTATATAAAAATATACCGCCCTAAAATTCAACTACATGTACTAAAATACTTTCTACTACCCTTCCTACCACAGTCTTCCAGCATGCAAAAGTAGTTAGTGTGTTATGTGAAGGTAGACTAAACATCTCACACTCTGTTATTGTCCACTTTTACATGAAGAATAATTTTGCAAACGAAGCTCATAAGTACCTTAAGATGCGAAAGGATCAAATAACGTTGGTTTAGTGTAGCATTAGGCTTTCATCTGTAATCCCTTCCCTTAAGTTGGATTACAATCGGTGGCCTACCTAAAGCGCCTTCACTTCAAGTGACATCGTGTTTGCAGCCTTGATACACCGCTTGTTTGTAAGATTTATACCAAACCAAAAGCCTCTGTTGCTATAGAAACGGTGAAATAATCTATCGTGCTACTATTTATAGTTTATATTGGAATTAAACAATGGTTATTGGTTGAAAACCTTCAGTTCGTTCTAATAACAGTATTCAATTACATAATTATTACGATATGAAAAAAATCTAAATGGGATATGCCGTGTTAAAAATACTTTTACAAGCTTTTTTTAACATTAATGTTTGTATACACGTGTGTAAATAAAATTTAACCATTGAGATACAAATTTTGAGAGAGAGTTAATCTTAATCTGTATGAACATGTAGGAAATATGAAAATATATTTATCAAAAGAAATAAAAAACATCTTCCAAAGAAATTTTCACGCAGTGCATATAAAATATAATAATAAAATAATGTGTTCAAAAAATAAGGATTACTATTTTATAATTGTGCAAGGAAATTTAAAAAGAGTATATATGAGTAATAGTAATGTCAATGTATTGGAGCTTTATACTGAAAATAAAGCAAAGCCAGATACAACTCGAATTTGACCTACATATTTGTAAGATATATATGACTTAAAAAAAAATGACTAATTTTTCAAGCTTTTAAGTCAATTATTCACTAAAGGCAAATTTATAATAAGTTGACTACATATTGCAATAAACTTTATTAATAAAATGAAACATAAAGAGACATGAACTTAATTAGCAAATATGAGTATATTAATGGAGAGAACAATTTTAAAATTACAGAACGGAATTACACTTAATTATAACATTTATGACTTTAATTAAAATATTGAATGCAGTTCTACATTTTCCTATTAATTGCATTATTCGTGTCAGGCATGTGAGTAACGTCGTACGTTTATGAAATCGTAAAACGATAATGTTTTTAAATGGGCTTCAACAATTGCTGCAAGTATTATAATTGCATATCACTTTTAATCTGAACTACTGTTTTAAGCCGTCTTTTATATAAAAAAGAGCATGTATTTTCTTAATTGAAAATATTTACTATGCAACCTCATATATATTTCTGCTTTGATTTTTATATTCTGTTGACCTGACCCAGGGTTGTATTCACCATTACGAAACCAGCAAAATCTTATCCATTTCGATCGAAACCGCTCATTAACGAGATTTATGGATGAAACATAGACTTCGCGACGACGGGGACGTCGTGCAACGTCTTATTTACGGTGCCCAGATACGGAGATAGTTCACGCCTTATGGAAAAAAATACTTGAAGATGAACTTTTATATCTTTAAAAATGATGTGTTCCTAGGAACTTACAGGGATATACCTTGTATAATAGAATATTTTCATTATTAGTTTAATATGTTTTGTAGTTGAACGAGTCATTTTAGAATTGTTATAAATTTTTCTATGAAACATTATTTTGACCCCATACATACCCCTCGTGATTTATACAATTAAAAATCTATTGTTTCTACAGGTCTTTGAATAGGAAACAATCAAAACTTAACCATTCACTTACAGTCAATCTGCTGGTACATATAAGATTAAGCGCACTTCGTATAGCAGTATATTGACAAGTTCATGCAAGCGAACCAAGCGGCCGATAACACCAGCTTTCCTGTAATCCAATAATAATGACTAGGAACAGTAACGGTTTACTGTATATACTCCAGTTGGATGTTCCCGTACAACATAAACCACGAGTGTTTATCTCGAAGCATGATTTCGCCTACCCGTCACGCGCTCTCCGCTCGATTATATTGTTCAAATAAGTACTAATGTATTATAATAAAGATACTAATACCGCTTCATATGCATAATACGTGTTTCATATTTAAAAATTTATAACTACATATAATTGTTTCTAAATATATATTTTATTGTAACTTATGGATATCTAAATAGCACACAAATACCTTTTTCACATTTTTCTTTTATTTAATAATAAATAGTTCTTACTTATTGTATATCTAATGTAATTATTGAATCATTCATAAGTTTAAAATCTAATCCTTTTTAAGGAAAGTAATGAATGTCTTAACTTGAACGTCCGCTTCTTTTTTAACTTTTCTTTCAAATCCCCATTCCGTGGTTAAATGTTACAGGAAGGATACAAGTTTTAAGGTGCGATCACGTATTTTAGTTTGAAATTTGAAAACGTAAATTCAGCGTCTGAATATAAAAATTCAAGGGGTGATGTGTGCAAGTGAAGGGGTAACTGCGAGTACCGGATATAAAGATACGGCGACATTGCCAGCGATACTGTTAAACGCGTTTTTACACCAATTAAATAAAAACTAAAAGATCACGTGTTTTCATTATTATTTGATTATAATAATTATTAATCTGTTTATTAGTAGTAATATTTACAATCAAGTATCCCTAATTTGTAAAATGTCTTGATGGATGTTTTTTGACAAAAGCTCTACTCAGATTCCTTCCATTAAAATCATCAGTTTAAAAATCAATTTTTACTTTATCTTTACTACAAATCGTTGTTACACGCTTACAGTTTTAACGCGACCTTAACCAACCGCATCCACACTAGCTGTCACCAACCCAACGATTTACTGAAAATTGACATTTCATAGTACCGACAGAGATCTCGACTTTCTAACTAGAAAATTTTATCTACTTTAAATAAAAACGAGTTTTTACATTAACTTTTTTCAACTATTAACGAGCAAAAGCTATTTTAAAAATATTAAAATATGTTATGTAAAACGAATAAATTCAAAATATTCCTAAGTTCTTCGTAAAACATATTTATGGCACTTATGACTCACGAAACAACACATTCGGGAACAAATTACTTTTTTACACTCGAGCTATAAAACTTTAAATTTTACTAACGTTTTTTATAATCGAAAGGAAACGAGAGCACCCTTGTCTGCTTTAGTAGAAATCGATTCTGTATATTAGGCTTCCGTTAGATGGCAAACCCGGCCCGTTTCGAGTATTCTTTTGTTCCATTGTGACCCGCCCATTGTTCTTCGGTCGCGGATAAATTATTTTCCTTCGATCATTCTTAGCTTCAATCTCGTTCCATTTCGCCCGTATTAGTTCCACTCGATGCGTAACAATTACAGTCTTTATAATATCTCGGATGACGCAAAATCATCGTGCCTGTCCTACAATTTTACGCCTCAGTATAACTTTTTAATAAAAGCGGTAAACACACATATGAGGATTAATTCATATAAATATGAAACGTATCATAAATTATTCTTGAAATGTAAAAGATAATTACACCTCTGAGTAACGAACGAGGAATTTCATTGGAAAGTTTATTACTTTTTAAATTCACAGTATAATACTTTATGTACTCAGAGGTCAAACAAAGCATTTTAAGGATTCTTTCATTAGCGTATATCGTAAAACGATCATAAACATGAGTGATTAAGGTACACTTCCTAGCAGGGGGCAGCATAAGCAACGTCAAGAGGAATTACTTCTTTACGATGAGATGCAAACTTTGTAGGCAGTGCGACCGATTAAATTGGAATAATTAAGTTTTTCATTAACGGTTTAAATTATGCGGGCACATTTACGACTACACATTAATGCGTCATCGTGTAATTTAAAACTCAACAACGTGTTTAAAATCAGGTTTTTAAATGCACTATATGTACAACTTTAACGCCAATAAAATAACTATTAATTCGTCACTTTATGCTCTTAAATCGATAGTAAACATTAACTTATTCTTATAAAACAATAAAGATATTCAAGCAAAACATTAGTTGTTCATAATTACTTTGATAAAAGGTGGTGGCCGGGACAAGATCAATTGCCCTACACCATCCCGATAAGGCGCACTTCATCCGGTCTTGATTGATGTCATCGCCACTTATGAGTACAACTAGAAAAACGTTAACAAAACCGCCGCTAATGGAAAACGTTATCCATCAACTCGAAAAATTAAGACGTAAAACTAAACCATCCACTAACAGGGCCTATCTTTATCTAAATTACGACACCATTTTTTATTGAAACAATTACCAAAGCTGAGGTAACGAAGTGGTCGAGCGCAGTGAAACATTCAAAGTGAACGAAATGAAAGCTCCCGTTCAACGTGAAGCGTCACTTGGAATAATTAAGCGGTACCTCGATATCAGAGGCTCCTCGACTATAATGACTGTTGAGTTGAAGGGTTGTGCTGAATGTGAGATTGACTGTTGTTTCTTGGGTATGAGAAATGAAAACAAACGACCAAAACTATTTAGTTTTGCATGATTGTATAAAGATGAAATATTAACAAGGTCTCTCAAGTTTAAAGCAGAAAATTAAACTAAAAAAAATGTATATTTAAATCTTGAACATATTCAAACAAAACCGAAAAAGTTCTTTTTGGAATAACATTTCAATATAAATCAAGAATAAGCATTTATACCTTGAGAATCTAGAGTAGGCTTGATAGTTAGATATAAATCACTAATCACGAAACCATTTTCACAATATTTTTTTTAATAAAAAATATATTAGAACAGAGGTTTTATAAGAATCCATTTTGATGATACTAGGTAGTTAGCTTCTACGAAGAAATATTGATGGCAATAATTTTATTTTAAAGTACAATTATAATTCAAATTTAATCATAACCTTGACAAAATTCATAATTATACACACACTCATGAATAGGCTTGCCCTTCTACATACAAAAAAAAACATAAGGTAAGGAAATATTTGCCTCGTGTCGGATAACCAACAAAATAATTCAATTCGCCAAAGGCGTCGTGTTCTAATTTATTTTCAACAAAACATAATCAATGAACGAATCAAACGCTCGGGCTGAGTTGTAGACTTCGACTTTTCAACGACTGTTCCCCAGAAACTGCCATGATAATTATTTTCATGACAAACAAGATACACGGTCGAGTACAAGGGAACCAATCAACATACATCAACGACAAGCATCCAAATAAAATATTTAAAAATAAAAGGAACATTACTTTTTGTACGAGAAGAAAACAAATTTGTTACCAGTTGATATCATATATGGCTAGGCGCCTTCAAAGACCTAAAAACTAATTAAGATCGAAAGATATTATATAACGATAACTATGTAGTAACAGACGGACAACAGACAGGCGGATCTGCTTGTACGTTGGCAATGAAAACAATTAACTTTTTGTTGGATCCCTTGTAGACTATCATCAAAATAAAAGGATGTTTTTTCTTAATTTTTACATCCTTCTCAGGAACTTTTTCACTAAAATTATAACTTTTACATAAGATCTTATTTTGAGGTTAAAATCATATCAAACATAATTTTCAACAGAATATCATAAAAAGTTGAATTTAGATATTATTTTTATACAATCGTAAAAAAATAAAGGCCAACTAAACAACACGTAGCTATCTAATGGAATCATACCCGTAAAAGAGAAAAACAGGTTAAAAACGCTTCGTTAATTTTCAGACGAGATTTCCCAGCAGTCTGGAGGCAGAGAATGGCATCGGAAACATGAATTAAAAACGTTAATAATCCTCCTTTATGAGCGCCGCAGACGCTTCTTTAATTAATTTAGAATTTGACCTTCACTATGTATGTGTATATACGATTATACGAAAACAAAGTTAGCGTTTTATATACTTTAAAAATGTACTGTTAAAAGGACTTAATTTTTATTACTATCCATATATATTTCTTAAACTATTTCATAGGAGTATAATTTGTCTTTAAAATATTCCATATTACAGACAGATAATTATTCCAGTAAATAGCCCCAATGCCGTAAAAGAGCAAAATTTCTGCTGCAAGAGGGAAAAAGCGTTATTGAAAAAGAGGCGACCTGATATATAAATAAAATACGGGTTCAGCTATCGGCGGCTTGTTATCGCATGCCTCCATCGGGCATATTACAGCAAAGTATCAGTTATTCCGAGGTCTGTAAGTGCAGTTTCCTTTGCACCAAACCAACTCGCCGCTAGCTCGTTATAATAATGTGAACTTCGGGAATTGCGGCGGCCATAGAGTAGAAAAGTTTGAATATTTAGAGTTTTTGTAGGGCGCATTGATAGCATATCATTTAAAAATTTTACATTAAAATAGAGAGGCGTTTATTTAAAATGACTTACATAGAAATAAATTGTTATTCATGTTTATCAGATTCGAAGATAATGTAGTAATGGATAACATCGCTACATAACAAATTTGATTGAAATTAAATATCGTTTAAATAAGAAATATTTCACATTCAATACTACTGTATGATTTTACTGTTCAAGCATCAGAAAGAATTTCTTTTACATACATAATAATTGCGAGTTGTCTTGAGGCGTCACGATCCTGATATATAATGACATGACAAAGTGCATACTGACGTGAAAATTGCTCTACACTTCTTCATACTGTGTATATTTAACAGTTTAACTATACAGAGTCACATATAAAGATTTATACACTCTCGATTTATTTAACGCCCACGGCTCCCACTCAAACACAATAGTAACTGCTTCATTTTTTTTATAATTCTATCGAGAAATATAAGTATGTAAAATTTTTTTAAAAAACATATTCATGCTTTAATCAATAAACACCATCAATCTTAACTACATCGATGGTAAAGATAATTAACAAGGTTAGTATAAATACGTAGTTAAATTTTTAGGTATTAAACATTACTTTCAATTCGTAGGGGTTAGAAGACTTTAAACATTTCACATTACAATGATTCAGATGTTCAAGCAAATTGCATTTAAAAGAGCAGGCAATCCAAGTGCTTTCTCAAGAAACTTCGTTACGACTCCGCGATTTAACTGTCTTGACACACACAAATTTATTTTTTCCTTTTATGTTGCATCCCGTACGATTTTATACCAAATTATTCGGTCAGTTCCTACACAAAAATAACGACATTCAGGGTTCCGAAATAGAATTTTATATAAAAATTGATAAATACAGTTACAATTCCTTTAAGTTATAAATTTCAGATTACGGATTTTAAGATAGGTCGCATAAAAAAGGCGACATAATTACACCTATATAAGATAAGACTTACTCTTATCATGCTCATTATGTTTTACATTTATCGAATGAAAATTAAGTTCAAAATAATTAAAAAAAAAATTACAATTTATTTTAAATAATACATACAATAATTTGTTGTACAAAATATATTTTAAACGATAAAAAAAGAAATATTTTTCAAAAAGGTAAACTCGTAAGCCAATAATAGTCTTGGTAATTATTTTGAATTTTGTTAACTGCACCTAAACTTGGATATAATATATGTATGTACATATATATATATATATATATATATATATATATATATATATATATATATATATATATATATATATATATATATTGCACAACAATTCACATCCATATATGTATTAATATTTTAATCAATTACTGAATACCAAAATACTTTTAATTAATTATAAAAGAGCCCTGTTCTCTGTTTTTACAAATTAAATGAGATCAAAAGCCATTGCTCAAAATTTAGAAAAGGGGAAAAATTTTAAACAACTTTTTAATGTGATTTTCAATTGCCTTCATATTGTCAGTAAAGCCAAAAGTTATTACTATAACAAATTAATGTGGACAAAGAGAAGAATGAGCGCATAAGTATAGTAAATTATTATCTATTATTAATACACAACAGATATAAAAAACAAAAAAAAATACTTGGTATATTTATTCTTACGAGGGGAGGTCAAAAAGTTCGCGGAATGGAGGGGATGGAGGGGGTTGATTTACTCGTCCAGGTAGTAACTTGTTCAACACCTCATTAATAGTATATATACCAAGTTTGAACCAAATCGGGTCATTAACTTTTGAGTTGTTGACCTGCAAACAAGTGAATCGGGAAGAAGTCAGTGAGTATGGAGAAAATTGAACACCGCGCCGTTATTAAGTTCCTCACCAAGCAAGGAAAATCCGCTCAGATAATTTTTGAAGAGCTGTTATCAGTTTACGCGGACTCTGCCCCTGGTAAAACCATGGTTTACAAGTGGCATGGACTTTTTAAACAAGGAAGAGAGTCCATTGAAGATGACGCCCGCTCCGGACGACCGATTGAGGCCACCACACCGAAAATCGTCGCAAAAGTAGAAAAACTTATATTGGAAGATGCCTGGTTGAAGAAGAAACGGCTTGGAGCAATGGTTAGAGTATCTGAAAAAAGCATTTTTAATATCCTACATCATCATCTTGGGATGACTAAGGTCAGTGCAAGATGGATTCCAAGAATGCTCACGCCACTTCAAAAGAGCGAGCGGGTCGAGTGTTCTCGCCAGTTTTTGAAGCTCTGTGGAGAGAATAAGGACGAAGTTATGGACCGGATTTTTACTGGTGACGAAACCTAGGTTCACCACTATGAACCTGAATCGAAGCAAGAATCGATACAGTGGCATAAAAAAGGCACAGCTCCTCCAAAGAAGTTTAAAGTGTCACAATCGGCCGGAAAGATCATGGCGACTGTCTTTTGGAATACAGAAGGTATTTTGCTGATCAATTATAAAGATCGTGGTGTGACTATAACGGGACAGTACTACGCTTCTTTATTAGATAGATTGAAAGAAGCTATCAAGGAAAAAAGAAGAGGAAAGCTGTCAAAAGGTGTGCTCCTTTTGCACGACAACGCAACAGTCCACACGTGCCATGTTGCGACGGCTGCCATTCACCGATGCGGACTCGAAAAACTACACCACCCACCTTACAGTCTAGACTTAGTCCCCAGCGACTATTATTTGTTTTCAAAAATGAAAAAAAAGCTGCGGTGAAAAATATTTGAGAAGTCAAGTCCGCAATTTCGGCCTATTTTGATAGCCAAGATAAATAATTTTTTTCGAATGTATTAATAAATTATTTGTGAGATCCGAAAAATGTATTAAGGTTAAGGGAGACTATATTGAAAAGGAAAAATAGTTTCGTGTTAAATTTCAACCCCCTTCCCGCTCATTCCGCGAACTTATTGACCTCCCCTCGTATTACAGCTTGAAAAAATCTTATTACTAACACGGCCAATTACCAAAATTACAAGCTAAATTTCTCCTTTGATTTTTAATGAATAAATAATAAAATTTGTAACAAGAGCTTTATCTGCGGAAACATAATTTATGTAGTAAGCGTCTCGCTGGTTCAGAATTCTGACCGGAGACATGAAACCTAAGTGCAAAATATCGCCTGCGGCCGGCACATTCACTGCGACATAAAATCCATGCCAACCGATAATTTAATTGGTTAGTTGACATTTAATCAATACACCTGATTAAATTAATTGAAGGTTCTAAAATGATGCACTTTTATGGAGGCATCGTTACGTGCTTTGGCGGTTAAATTCTTTACCATTTTGGGGACAGGAAAGAGATATTATCGAAGAATCGTCAGTTTCTTTGCGCATTGCGACGTAAAGTTTAGATATAAATTTGTTGTTACATTTCATCTTAATAATGCCACACATACTTTTAATAATTATTGTTAATTTTCATATTACAACATTTCTACAACAAAAGAGCATGTATCTAAATCTTCCACAATTTTAAGATCTCATTGTAGGTTCCTTATTCTTGATAAAACAAAAAAGAAAGTTTCATGACTTTTTTTTCAATAAAATAAAAAAAATCAATATTGTGAAAGGTCTACATACACGATTAGTGTCAGAGTGATTACAGTTAAGGTTATTTATATAGATAGGTTGTAATTTGACCACCATCTAAGTGTAATCATCTGTCAGTTTAAATTGGTCAGCCACAAAAAAGTTCGTGAGACTAAGAGAAACCAATATCGCATTCGCTTTCGATGCTTATTTGTGATTATGTTTTTCTGTCTAATCTAAAAAATATGTTTGTTCTAAAATAGTTTTCGCCATACTTTAAAAACCACTATTTAAATTTCCCTATAATGCGGTCTACCATAACTTTCTTTAGAAAGCCGGAACAATAAATAGAGAATGAAGATATTTTTGCAATTAAAGATAATGCAACCGCAAAGAATATGCTTCACTATTTCAACTTATATTCAAATAAAAATTATACACTTTTAACTTACTGATACACATAGATTTACTGATCCTTATGAAAGTTAAGACGACGATCGTAAATAATGTTGGATTCGAAACAAAATATACATTAGGACAAAAAGTGATACAAAGGCGAAGCATTCGATACCTCTTCGTAGAAGAGAAGGAAAGAATTTAAATTTAAAAGGCCGCGAAAAATTCTAAAATCAAAAAAAGGGCATGGGACATAGATGTCAGACGCTCCAAACATGTTAACAACAGAATTGAGAATAAAATGAGGTAAACTCCTACACGATCTTTTTATCGAACAATACACGTCCACATAAATTTTCTGTAACACCTCATGTTCTTTTATTACTATACTAAAATACAATAGCGTTTTTAAATAACAATACTAGAAATTATTTACAAATTTGGAAATCAGTATTTATTTATATATATATAAACAATGATTTCTATTATATACATATTTATATAATAGAACTTCTTAAATTTAAGAAAACGAAAAACTGACCGAATAAGTTCAGACAGATGTTAACTAGTGCATGAAATTTAAATCAACGACTACAAACGATTCGGCCGCCTTAATAGAAATGAATGCCAAACTTTGCCTAACTTCATTAAATCTGCTTCAAAACTTCCCATTCTGGGGCGCACAGGCAAATGTGCTGAAGGCTGGATTGTATATTTTATTCATCCCTTTTACATGCAGAACCTCCGATTGCGGACCGATAAAGCCACACTAAACCAAAATAAGCATAACAAATAAGTGTACCTGTCACTCTGCCCTTGTTTTTATTTCTAAAATTTGTATAATATATTCTGATTTGTGTCGCGCCGACATCGCATTTGGACAAAAATAAAAAAAATACTTTAAAACAATAGTGTGTTCGGTTCTTATTTTATAAAAAAGAATAATATCTATATATTTTTCTATATTACCCTGACACATTCAGTGCAAAAAGCACGTTATTTATAACACAAGTTAAATCAGAAATCAAACGTAATTGAGAGGATTTTCTTAGAATCTTCCTTTTCAAAATTCTTCAAATTTAAAGATACACTACGTTTCGTCGAATGTGAATCGGCGATACTTGTCAGTCATTCCACCAATGTCCCGATTTCTTAAAACGCCGCGACTTTCAACCTTTCCAAAAATATTTGACGCTTCGTTGATTGTATGTTCTCACCATAAATATTTAGAATCCTTTAGGACGATATCCATGGGAACCTAAATATAAATCATTTATATACCTACATATAACCTAATAACAATTAGGAATTTGGATCCACAACTAGATAAATATTAAATGAACAGTACAGAACCAGGATAAATTAAATGAATTTACAATATAAGCTATAGCTAAAAGTCTCGCGAAAAATACCGTACATTCAATTCAAACAGCAAAGAAGATCCAGCGATTAGTTAATAGCGTACTAATCCATTAGACTTGTGTGATAAGAAAATAAAAAGCCGCTGTCTATCGTAGCGGTGTTGTTGCGAGCGCCGGCCGGTGTCCGCCTTCACAATAGCACAATTAAAATGCCAACAAGTCCGGCTGCCAGCCCAATCCAATTACAGTGGACAAGGATTCCAACGAGTAATTGGGACCGGGGTTGTACAGTAGCTTGTGATATGTTGCGGGGTGCGGGACGGGATGTGCGATTAGAAATACAATCTGTTAATGAAAAGTAGATTGATCGAATATACAATAATATTTTAAAAGTTTTTATGTATCTTTCAAATATGAATAATACCTATAGTTACCCTTTCCCCTCTGGAAACATGACGACTATATCGATATGACATAACAAAGAGAGTGCAAGTTTTTTTCACCAATTGATCCAATCCAAATAAATTGAAGATCTGACTGAATCTTTAAGACGAGCAATGATGAATTTTAAAGCTGTTATATAGTGTAACACACGTAAATCTATAGCTTATTAAGCAGACATGTCAATATATTTTAATTTTATTCTGCTTTAAATTTATTTTTACCTAGACCTGTACGTCAATCAACAACTGCACCTTTAATAATAATGTAGTAAAAATAAGACCTTAAAGATAATAAATGGTATATAAAATTAAGGAGTATCTAGTGCCAACAAAAGAGGAATACTTTAACAAAAGCAAGAACATCAAGAAAACATACTTTTAAATTATTTGTTATGGTACTGTCTTTCACTTCTGGTTTTACTTCATTGTAATAAAAAAATATAAAGGTATGAGAGGTTTCTTTAATGATATATCTTTCAAAATCGCGTTATTCTAAAACTAATCATTTGTTTACTATAGAGTAAAATAAACAGTCAGCCATAAAACACAAGACCCTCTTTAGCACTCGAAAAATAAATAGTATCTAAAAGCTGAAAAAGCTTTAAAACAAACACATGAATTTAGATGACTGAGAAAGTAAAAAAATACAAATATTTTTTAATATATTGTGTCATTGCCATAAATAAAAATATAAAGCAAGCATTATTAACAACCCGTTCTATATTATAAGAAATAAGCAACTGAGTAACATATTTTTATATTAATTAGAGACTTATTATGTAAATCGAAAACAAGAACAACTTTTTATTCAAAATCTCAATCGGAACTGCAAATAGCAAAATCTCTTTTCAATATCTAGAGTAAACGTATAGAACAATGAAATGTCGTTTACATTAAATCAATACGAACAATGTAGTTTCCAACAAAAAACTTTGTGTTCAACAAGCGGACTATGAGCCGAACTAATATGGGAATCTGAGCACTTCTAAAGGTCCAACTTTTTCCTAGCGAAAAATAAAGAGTGCACTCTCTCATTGTTGAACTTTTATATCCGATTTAGGTGTTTTCTCTCCAGTCACCGACTTAAGTGGAACATACGTCGTCCAATGCAACTCTAAGCAATTCTATTTTAAAAGCTACAGTTTAAAAAGGATTATCTATTATATACTTTATTCCACAAACAGAATCAAGACGACAATCCAATAGTTACTTAACACCGAAAGTAAAGCATTATGAAACATCTTTTCAAAGGTTCACGACAGATTATTTCTAACGTGTTTCTAGAAAATGTCAAATGTTCAATTAAATAACATTTTGCCATCGTACTGACATTAACAAAATGGTATATCGTTTCTTATACTATGCAACCTCTGTATATTCATCCGTTCAATTAATTCAAATGATTACACTTAACACAAGATAATCTTATATCAGAATTATCATCATAAAAAGACTAGACATCAAAATAAGGTAATAAATGTAGCGGTTATCGTAGAAAAGTAAATTATGTTTATGTAATTAAATCTAAAATTGGTAAGGCTCAATTTATTGAGGCACATTTTATCATTCTTAGAACCGCAGGTGTCACGCATCCATAGGCCGTTAATGTTACAGTAAAATCCGATGTTAAATCTGTAACCTCACTTTCATTTAGAAAAAATTGCATTTGAATTAAATATAGAATCCTTTGTCACATAATGCTTTTTCTACAAATTCATTTTGACTTATCGTAATGATACCGCAAATCCAACTGCCTACTCTCGTACATTACGGTCTTAGATTTCAATTTAATCAAAATCAAATAAAGAAAGTATGTATAAGACATTGAACTTTAAAGGCGTTTAATAAAATGTATTCAGGCATTGTTGACTTTTCGTGCGGTGAAGCGCCCAACATAAATACTGAATCCAGTGGGCACGCTCCTGAATATAATCGTCGATGAATAAATCGAGTCTCTTCAGTGTATAGTGGTAGGCCCCGCCGGCAAAGCGTAGTAAATTGCATCGAAAAAGAAGGAACTTGGCGCATCGCGAGGGCCTAAGTTACGACCGACTGCGACACGGCACGCTAAGAGGGCTATCATGTTAAAAAAAAATTCAAAAAGCAGTGATACAAGCCAAAAAACTACTTGTTAGATTAAAGATAAATTTAATGCCTTTGGTAGTACCTACCAAAGATCAACACCCTATTAATTTTTATTAAGATGACACAAATATTTCGGATTACTAAGCGTATTTTATTATTTTAAAAACTACATACTACGGACGTTTCGGCAAAGTGAGCGATCTCGTTTTGGCCGTGATCACGATTGCTACAAAGTAAACGAAACGTCGGGAGTACATAGTTTTGAAAAATAATAAAATGCGTGTAGTAATGCGAAAATATTGTTTTCATTTAATTGAATACTCGCGAAAGTCTTAGACCTCATTATTTTTTTTAATTATCTTTATATTTAAGATTGCAAAAATATATATATTTATAACCTTTGCAATACGACTATTAAGTCAATGCGCTATACTTATATCATAGTATCTACTATAATATTAAAGTTCTCGATATTGCAACAGGAAATTTAAAATCGTAAAGTAAACAAATACAATAATTGTAAAGTAAATTCAATCTTAAGCTATAAATTAATATGAGAAAATTTATCTAAAGCCAACACAAAACCTAAAATAACTTTACTGACGAATCGTACAATTTTATAACCACACAGATTTAACTCGACTAGAAGTTCGTTAATCTGACTAAGTCACACACAAAGGGTACTGCGGCGAGCCCGAAAATTAAGTTGGTTCGCTCTATTGCCTTTGAATTAAGCCACCACCCCACCATAGATATGTTTACATATTATTCTTCAAGTTTCAAAGCTTTTCGTTGTTTGACAATGATTATATTATAGTCTTTCCATAAGTTATATAATTTATATTTTAGTTTTCAGAAATCGTTAAATTTTAAAGTCTCAGCCGTCTCTGCTTTGCTAACACGTGTCAAAATCCCACTACCAATTACATTCATATCAAGACTCGCACGCTTTGAGGACGATACTCGGGTCACTCGTAAATTCACGAATCGTCGGCACACGGCCGGAGGCGCATCGTGACCTGACTAAGTCTCACTTCGCATTATTTACGATTTTTATTATAACGTAAAAATTCGTGAATTCTTACATCGCTGGAACGCCTCAGTCGCGCGTGGATCCACGCGTCGATAGCAGCTTCGTGAATACCGCCTTATAAAGTATAAATCTGACAAAAAAATATTACTAATAACCGTTACAACACATAAATAACACTTAAGATATTAATAATTTCACTAAAATGATAAGCCGCTGTTGTTCCATACGAATATGGTTTTATCTAGACGTGATTTTAAAATTTAGTTATCATTTTGTACAATTACAGCACTCATTTCGGAAGATACGATGTTTGTTTAGAATTAAATTTACCAAATGAACAAAGCTTTTAGCTTGTCACAATTCACTCTCGGAACATTTATGTTCAGCCGCGTTGAACTATCATTGTTTCATTCACTGTTATTGCTATTATTCATGATTCCATAAGTAATAGGAAACCATTAAATAGTAATAGTTATTTAATATTAAAACTGATTAATATTAGAATGTTTTTAATTATTGTTAATTATTTGAACTATTTAAAGTTCCTTTGTAATAGGAAGTCAATATTCTAGATACATAATAAAGGTGCAACACTGAGGAATTTGAATACTGAGCGCCGTTTGTTTACAATGGCCGAGGGTAGTTCGTGAGCCACTCTCGTTTAGATGCGAAGTGTTCTGATACAGTGAGCGGTAGCGGTCACATACCCTTCCACTCATTAAAGACCTCCTCCACCCTGTGAGATCCCGTGAAATAGAAAGGCCCAGGGCCGTTCAAATGTATAACAAGGGCTCTTGTTACTCTGGCCTCTTCACTAGTTCTGTTAGAGAACTTTATGGAATAAAGTGCGTTTTATACGGTCTTTGATGTTTGGTTTCGGGCTTTTAGCTGCCCGTGACTCCCCAGGGGATATAGCAATAACTATGTAAGTGCATAATACTAAATTATATGAAAACTGTTACTATTCATTCAACATTAAAAAAATATATATTTTAAGTAATGTTGATATCGAAGGTTTATTATTCATAATATTATGAAATAATTACTTTGTCAATACAATAAATTTATTTTGGTACCTGCATTTAATAAATAATTCAGTTCAATATACAAAAAAAAAATGTGTTTCAGTGATATACCATTAAAGTTCTTTAAATATTTCTTGCTATTCTCAACGGCGATTACTTCAGAGATTATCTCGGTGTGAATCTTAAAAAAAGATCGCATATAAAATGTAAGCAATATCGTTAAAGCCGTGTTTCGTTAAAATGATTCTGATCAACCGAGAAGAAATGTACCGAGGAGTGAACGTGATGCACCTTATATTATGGTTATATCTAATTAAGGGACATTCTCATTTCGCATGAGACAATTTTACGTCCGCATTGAAAACATCTCGGATACTAAAACAAGTCGATTTACGATCAAGTGCTCCCAAGGTGAAGGATAATTTTCTCGATTGTACTTTTTAATGACTTTAGGACGTGAGCCTGACTTTATTATGGATCAATATTTTACACTTGTCCGCGAATGTTACGAAAATGCATGAGATCGCTATCAAGCATTAATTGCACGAAGCAAAATCTGTATACTAAAATATAAATTCAATCGATTTACGATGTAGTGAATAACATAACTGGACTAAACAAGTGGAGATTTATGAATTAAAAGTATTTGTAGCGAAACCAGAACTGCATTACGGTTCAGTGTAATTGTTGTAATGAAACAGTCTATAAAGGACAACCTTTATTATTTAGGAGATAAAAATTAATTTCGTGATGATTGTGTTAATAATATTATTTTT